GTGAGTTGTTTGAGGCTGGTAGTTCTAATGAGCATGTAACCGGCTAATGCAGTAACAGCGGCCTACCTGCGATTGTAAACGCTTTTGGACCAGGAGCGTGCTGTAAGGTCCGAGACGCCTGTAACCAGAAGTTGACTGCAGGTGGTGTGTGAGCTGAGAGTTAGGGGTTGCGCATCAGTTTGGTGTTTGCTGTAGTGGAAATTATGCAGTCCACTTCTGAATGCTTGTGATTTTCAGAGCACACGGGGGAGGCCACCTAACCTAGCGAAAGCCACCGGGCAAAAAACGAGTTCAAGCGCCTCGTGAAAAAAATATTGATCTTCCCCTCCGGGGCTGGGGCGTAACTTGTTGCTGCTTATCGGACTCGAACTGTGGCCGAACCCGTAAAGTGTGCAGTGGCTTCTTTCGATGTGAAATCACCTGCAGAACCCCATTCTGTGTTTCGGTCATAGCCGTGATGGCCCGCCTGACTGTGGAGGCATTGTATCCTTTGGTGTTTCGAGTAAGTGACTTGTAATGGGGTGGAGCAACCCTCTCAGGGTGTACAGTGCCCTGGAAACCATGCTGGGGTGTGAGAGGAGGTGTCACAGCCGGAGTCAGAAGCGGTGAAGCAGGTATGCTGGCACTCAAGGGAATATGCTTTGAACAGTCTGTTGCTGAGCGGGGCTTTCATACTTGCAACCGGTCTTCGAGTGCCAGTGTACCTCCATCAACCGCGACCTGCCACGGCTTTCGTGCCTGGACCGTCATCCTGCTTGGGGTTTTACCCCGGCCCCTCTTTCGAGAGGGGTAGAGCAGTGAGAGAGAGAGAGAGATATTTACAGACATATATGGCAAGACACGCACCAACTCAAAAATCCTTGAAAGATCAGCCCGAGCATAACGTTTGGGGAGGATATGCAGGCACAATTATTCCAAAACCTGGCTTTTTGTGGAACGCTGGAGCGGGATGCATATCAAATCACGAAAACATTCTGAAACGGAAATATACGGAAGTCCGCTGTTTGAAGATATGATGTTTAAGCGTGCGGCTGCGTCGGCTGCTTCATACGGGCGTGCCCTGTGTTGCGAGTATGTTGCGTATTTTCGGGATGTTATGTTCTTCTATGAACTTTACCGAGCATGTAATATGATTTTCATGCATTTTTTTGGCTTGTCCGGCTCAGATTCATCTAAGGTCATGGCTGGCGTCCCAGGCTTGCAAAGTTCCCTGTGGCCAGGATCATGAGCGATGGCAATTATGCCATCACCTGCCGCATTGGGCACGTGGACCATATGGAGAACGGGTTTTGCGAGCTCCTCTTTTTGAGTGGCTTCGTGCGTGCTTGTCCGTTCAGAACTGGGAGATGTGCACACGGTTGAGTTCAGCTTCCCCACACTTTTCAAGCGCACTCGGGCGGCTAATCACCATGTTGCGCCGCCCAGACAAATTAGCATTGGTCAGCCTGGAAGCGTTGACAGCAGAACCGGTTGCAACATTGAAGGCTTTGTATACCTTCCTCGGCTTTGACCAGCCCAGGGCGTCAGATTCACCAACATTTTTTCCAGCATATAATGTCCACAGAGCAAGCAGTGTCTGCCAGGAGCAGATGCAGAGCCAGCTAGATGCCAGAGTTGTTATGTACTTCCGCAAAGAGCGTCGATGGTTAGCTTCCGCTTTGAAGACGTATGCGCCGGGCAAGCTGCCCTTGCCCATGTTTTGGCGCCGATTCCTGCGCCAGACTCCCAACATATCTGATTCTGACATGGCTGTTTTGCTGCGTCGGCCCATGAAGCCAATCGTCACACAGACGGTGTAGGCCGCAAATGCATCAAGCTTCCTCATTAGCTGGGGTCGGTCAGGCTGACAAGTGCCGCCATGTGATGTCTTGGCATTCTTCACCGAGATGCGGCAGCACTGAGGTTGAGCAGCTCATCTTCTTCGTGCTTTGGATTCAAGCGCTGCCTGATGCTGATGATTCGCATGTACTTCGGAGATGGCACTGGTGGTATGTGATCCGCAAATGCTTCGTGTGACCTTGGCAACCATGACGACGACTGCCAGCACATGCCGTGGCGGACTCATGCCTTTCACTGTCAAATTGTTTTCGGGGCATTAAAACACGGCGCCAGCAGCAGCATGCTTCGTCGTGCTTTGCTGTTCCAAGATGAACAATTTCTGCCACCCGTAGGCAGTCTCCCCACTTACGACTTATTGTATTTCACTGCACGCCATCAGGAGTGACTTTGGTGTAATTAGGTGCTTTCGGGTACATGCTCGTAGGCTTCTTCTGCAATGCTAGTTCTTCTGTCGTGCCTCGCAGATGCGGCGGTGTGGGAGGGGAAAAAAATCAGGAGTGTTCAATCCGGATCAGCTAGCATTGTCAATGGTCAGTCGCATTCTGTAGTAGTCCTGCTTGGCCCGACTCGCGCTAAGTCGATATCTAAGGAAAACGATGATTGGAATTGCAGTCTCTTTCGGCTCAATCGCAGGAAATGGTGTAAACGCACCTGACGGAACAGGAGTGACATACTAGCTTAGGCATCAACGCGTCAAGAGTTGTCGCTTGTGTACAAGTGTAGGCATGATGCGGAGTGTGGGGATGCAATGTGGGCCCGCTTCAAAGGCCTTTGCCCAAGCTACGAGTGATCAAGGGTTTGGTTGACTCAACTTGTTTTTAATGAGTGGGCTTATGAATTGAGCCTCACAAGCGATCTCGCCAAGGAAGCCATTTCGTTTCCTGACGGTGCTCAAATCAGTTTGCGATCAACCACCAACCGTTGCCTGTCACATTTGGGCATTGCCACTTCTTTCCACGACCAGTCGGGCCGGCTTGGCAGGTTTGGGCAGTAGAGCTAGAGGCCTTGGAGTTGGAGGTCTCCCTTCTGAAGAGGCGCTGCAGAGGCGTGGCGCCAGTGCCGTAAGACACCTGCACTGCAATCAAGGATGATCGGGTCCTGCAACGCTTCGGCAAAAGAGGGCCCGCTATGACTGCCGCACCCTTCCAAGCATGTTTTCAGCATGGTAGGCGATCATGTGCGTTCTGACCCGCAGCAAGGCTCCTGAACAAGTCCCGGTTGGATGTGGGGCGTGCTTGGCTTTGCTTGACAGCAAGCATTACTGTGCTGGACCTTGTTGAATGCAAGTCTGCACGAGGTGCAAAAACCCTGCAGCTTTTCTGGCGTGCCAGAGGCAGCACAACATTGGAGGGACATAGCTCGTGCACTGTGGAGATGTTTCATCAGGTGCAAAGCTGTTCTGTTCTGCGATTCAGTCTGCCAGAAGCGAGCTTGGTGCGGGCCCAGTTTGTTCGTTGTAGCGATTGTGAGAGATCCTGAGAGCAAAAGTCACCGCAGGCCTCAGCACAAGTTGAGTTGCGAGACCCCGGAGGCATCAGCGAATGCGTTGAAAGTTCACATTTTGGCGTTTATGACTTCAGCACCCCCAAAGGAATGATAGCCGTTTTGGGTTGTATTCGTGAGAGGCACCATGCGAGTGCAAATTGGTCATGTAGGTCACTTAGCCAGCCCGCAACCAGTTATTTGTAACTTGAATTGGATAGGATGTCTTCATCAAGTTCGACCAGCAGCAGGACTTGAACAAAGGTTCAAAAATGTGTGCCGACATGTCACGAGCGAGTTATGAAGTGCCAAAGTGAATCTTTGCCGGCGATTTGGATGCCCCAGGAGCTTTTGGAAGAAGAGGAGCGCAACAGGAAAAAAGCATGTGAGCAGGAAGAAGCAGAAGTTGCGGCAAAGGCGCGTCTTCCGTTTCAACTTTTCACTTCGACCAGCGCACGGCGCGAAATCTTAACAGGAGAAGGAACTGGCTGCAGCTCTTGAGGCTCCTGGGGCATGTCTGCAGCGATTAACTCACCCCTGCAAAAAGCAATGTTCCATGATGCCGTTCGATGGAATTCGCAGGATTTCTTCAGCCGCGGAGCATCCAAACAGGCGAAAGCACCCCGGCTGCGATCGGAACGAATGATCGAACGCCAAGTCTGTCTGCGTGTGCTTCAGGCTGCAGTTGATCCACGGCAACCATGCCGACAGGATGCTGTTTTTGCGCATAAAATGAACTGCCAGGCATCCGCCAAGCCTTTTGCAATTTTTACGTGTAGCTTTGAGGATCCCGGCCAGGCAGAGGCCATCCATCACAGCTTTCTCTCAGTTCCTTAGAGTCCTCTTTTTTTTATGTTCTGCTCTTCGTGTTTTGGTGTTTTGGCAGTTTGCATGGAAGGTTTGGCAAAATCCAGAGATGGACACGGACTCTGGAGTCACAAGCACACCAGTCAGAGGCATCCTCCGCTGCACACATAACAAAGGCAAATAGTTCAGCTACAGCGTTGGCACAGCTCGGCAAAATTATGCAGACAGGAGTGGCTGAGATGGAGGCGCTGCCGGAAGCTTGGTTCAACGTTGCTGGTCATGACATATTCCTACAGCACGAGCATTGCAGGGAAGAAGTGCTCTTGGTGTGTGCCGCTAGTTTGTACAATGAAGTGCTGGCGGTTTCTAAATGTTGCTAGAGTTGTTGGCTCAAAGTAGCCGGGCGGCCCCATGCCCGCACTGAGCTAAACGACCGCTGCTTGGCTGCTGCAGACATGCTTTACACAGTGAATGTGGGGAGCCACACGTTAACAACCTGAGGTTCCACGTTTTTTGCCACCTGGCTAGACCTCTTTCGTCCTTTCCGATTCACGTGATCCATGTGCGTTAGGTGGACCCCCACCCAGCAATAGTGACTATAACGGATAACGGTGATTACACTGGGGCCCTCATATGTCCTCACATTCTTGTTGTATCACTATTGCAGGGTGGAGGATCCACCTAAAATATGTGTAACATGTTGTTCCAGATCTGCTGATGTTGTGAAGCTGGCGCCAAGGACGAGTGCTACACGTCGTCCGCTGTCCCTGTGGCAGATCTAGTCGTTTTCAAATGCCTTCCACACTCTAAGCGGCGTTGTAATGTGACAAGCTTGGCGGGCGTCAACGCCTCTTGCCAAGGAATCCTGAGAAATGAAAGGCAGGGTGCATCACATTTGTCTTGGGCAGAGTTGTGAAGTAGACCGGATCATGTTGCACCACCTGGTCCCTGCAGGGAAGGCTTGCCTGGTTCAGTTCATTTACTTGTTTAGCACTGCGCGCATCTTGGGCAGTGTTTCTGCTCCGAAACTTGCTGCAATCAGGCATGCGGGTTCCATCTTGTTCGCTATTCGTTTCCATTATGTTGTCGATCTGTTCCCAGGAGTGTGAAGCACAAGGTGTCCTTGCCCCAGAGGAGTTGGAATGTGAAGTGTTCTGCGCCCTGTCATCAGTCAACACATGCAAAGCCTAGGCATAGTCCATTTGTCAGCGATGCGCGAAGACATTCTCATGAAGTGGCAGGAGTGGAGGTTGGGTTGCGAATCAAATGACCATGGGATCATTGTGGGTAGCTCCATGTCCTACAACAGACAAGCGGCCAGGTCTCACAAGACGGAAGCGTGCAGAGAACCATCGTGCGAGGAAACAAAGCTGGGGATGAAGAAAGCAGCAAGAAGGCTGGCCGCTTTTGTCCATGCGTTTTTGTGCACTAGCTCTCCATTCTCAGCCGCTATGGCAGCGTTCTGCCATTGCCTCAGGATGCAAATGTTATAGCTGCTACGGCGGCGGTCAATGTGGTGGCTGCAGCAGAAACTGCAAGATCGTCTAGTGATTCAGACCTGGATGGGGGCGCAGACCTCCAGGCCTCCAGTTGTGAGTGCTGACAGCTCTGCAGCGCAAAGCCTCAAAGGTTGCCCTGGTGTACGTGACAGGTCCAGACCAGCTCTGCTCCAGAGGTTGAAGAAGTTGACGAGGAAGAGACCACCTCGCAGCCTTCCACCACAAGGGCTACAAGCACAGCTCCCACTACTACCTCCACAACGCGCGCTGGTGAAGTCAGCGCCGGGCAGGATGCGACTCTACTTTAGTGAGTTTGGTTTCATTTTTCTTTTTTTTGTTGCATGTTTTGTCCATGAGCTCGCCGCAATGGCACGAGCTTCCAATGAGGTTGACTGCCAATGGGAGACTTGGGTAGAGTGGAGTGCCTGCCAGTTTACATGTGGTGGAGGCGCGCTTTGACCTGGGGAGCCTGCGATCCTGTTCTGGGCTTGGAAGCTGCCAGGCGAATCCATTCGAACTCGCAAAGTACGGCAGATGGCGCAGGGCAATGGCGCCACCTAGCTGATTCTGTGTTTGCACTTCCAAGCGCCTTGTGGCGTATGGAGCTTGAGGCTGCATGCGACAACAACGACAAAGAAACTCGTGACTGCAGCACTAACCCCTGCCCAATTGATTGCGCTGCTTGGTTGCAATGCGGAATGCCAGGCTCACCTTTGTGTAGCCTTCGGAGATGTGATGTTGGCCTGGAAGGTTTGGGACGAGTGGGCTCCCTGGGGCAGCTGCTCTGCATCATGTGGGCTTGGCATGAAGGCAGGGGGTTGGCAGGCTGTTAAGGGCTTTTGCTTGAACTGAGTTGTGCGCAGAATTTTGCTAGAGACATCTTTGTGCCAGGTCAAGACACGTGAGGAGAGCCAGCTTGCAGAGTACGGAGGCATGGCGACGAAAGCGGCACGTGAGTAGGGGCAGTTGATCTTTGTCACAGGCAAGCCTTGCCTCGGAAATTCCACAGCGACGGCTGAATGCCAGGACCATGCTTTTCTGGGAATTCTTGCGCTTTTGAATGCTGCTGTTTGGAGCTCTGGTATCCATCATGCTGCATGCCAGGCCAAGATCTGCCCTATAGACTGCAAATGGAGCGATTGGGGAGACTGGGAAGGCAGCACTGCGCGCAGCCATGCATCTCAAAAAAATTCTGCCTGTTGACTGCCACGAGCACGAGGCTGCTCCAAGTCTTGTGGCGTTGGTGAGAGGTCGAGGCAGGATACGGGGGGGGGGGTGAGAGACTTAGAATCCAGAACGTAACCTATGCCCCGGCAGGGCCCTTGTGCCCTGCATAGCCCATAGAAGAAAGCAAGACGGAACGAAAGAGCGAAAGAAACAAAAAAAGAAGGAGTAGAGGAAGGAATGGAAGATATAGAGACAGAACAAGCAGCAATGAAGCAAGTCGCTGCTAGATGCGTGCAGATTGCTGCGAGGTATCGAAGTTATGCGCAGATCAAGAATGCGGAGGGCAAAGAATGTCGGCTGCACAGTTGACAAGCAGTATTCGGAAGCCAGCATTTTGGAATATCAATGGTTCCAAACTAGTGACTGTTGACTGGTGCAAGCTCAACTCAACGGGATGTCTCTGAGGCGCTGGGCAGAACCTCCAGACAGAGAACTGCGGCATGAATACTTGTCCTGTTGACTGCGCCATGGAAGATTGGCAGCCGTGGGAGCCGTGCGATGTGACATGTGGAGAGGGCACCATGCGGCGGGAACGCAAAGTGCTGACCTTACCAGTGTTTGGTGGCGAGCGCTGCGGCGCCATCTCAGAAAACAAAACTTGTGACAACGGCCTGTGCCCAGTTCACTGCCAGCTTAGCGATTGGACCCAGTGGGCAGACTGCAGTATCAGTTGCACAACAGATGGGCAACCAGGATCTACAAAACGCTTCCGCAATGTAGTCCAGCACAAGAATATGCTCGGAGATGATTGTGTCGGCGAGCTTGAACAGACTACAACTTGTAGCCCAGTCCAGTGCCCAGTGGACTGCAAGATGTCTGATTGGACTACTTGGTCTGACTGCAGCAGCACCTGCGGGCCTGGAGCAGTCGAACGCCAGCGGGACATAGCAGCCGCTGCTCAATATGGAGGTAGAGAATGCCTAGGAGATGCAAACGAAACTTATCAGAAACGATACTGCTCGCGAGATACATGCCCAGTAGACTGCCAGTGGAGCGATTGGCAGGCTGGGCAATGGGGAACTGCATTCGTGAACCGCCATCGCTGTGCACACATATAATTTATGTGTTGTATGTCTACAGAAGATAAGATAAAGCTAGATGCACGCAGCTAGACATGTACCTGTAGATACGCATGTTTATGTGGGTATATTTGCGCACACGCTCACACACACGCACGCGCTACTTGGTCTCCTTGACCTTTGTGCAGGCCTTGAGGTGGTAAGACCTGCTAATAATGTTGCTTTTAGGATTATGGCGGTCATAGTTTTGGATGGTCTGGTGGCCCTGCAGGATTGGCGTGCTTGTTCGGTGACATGTGGGTCTGGAAGCAGCTACCGAATGCGGTTAGTTCAAACACCCGTGCTGCACGGGGGCAAGGATTGTGATGGTGGCTACCAGCAGACTCGCGCATGCAATCCTGCATCGTGCCCCATCCATTGTGAGTGGGCAGACTGGACAGCGTGGGGAAGCTGCAGTAGCACTTGCGGAGATGGCACAGAGAAACGAAGCCGAGATATTCGGGTTCGAGCCGATTTCGGTGGACGCCCCTGCTCCGGAGCAGCCTATGGCAACAGGAGCTGTGACAACAAGGCCTGCCCGGTTGATTGTGAGTGGGCAGACTGGGCTGCGTGGGGCAGTTGCTCTGCATCCTGTGGGACCGGCGTGCAGACCCGCCAGCGAGAGCAGAGTGTTCCTGCACAGCATGGCGGCAGTGATTGCGCTGGATCTGCTAAGGAGTCAGTTGCCTGCCCAGACCTACCTGCCTGCCCAGTGGATTGTGAATGGGACGATTGGACGCAGTGGGAAGGATGCTCCGTCACATGTGGCTCCGGGTTTGCTCGACGGAGCCGTACAAGGAGGCTTTATGAGAAGAATGGTGGTCATATCTGCTATGGAACTGAGGATGACGAGCAAGTGTCTTGGTTAAAAGGATTTGAGGGCAACTGGGAAGAGAGCATCTAAGTCTGAAGCTAACTGTCAAAGCTAAGTGTTAATCGGTTGGGTGGGCCATGCCGGTAAAATGAATTGTGCATGCTAGCCTGTGTCCGCCGTGGCAACAGGTTGCATGGGGCTGGGGCAAAGAGAGCCTTTGGTGGCAGGAAGCGCGGTTGGACGGGGAAGCTTTGTGTTGTCCGGGTGGCGGGGAGACAGCCAGAACCCGGTTTGCTTGTTCCAGACGCCTGTCGGGTGGAGGCTGAGCGAATATTGCTTGGATTGGCTAGGCTTGGTTTGAAGCTGAAGTAGCCATGAGCTTCCCAACCGCAAGGTATGCGCGCAGGGTCCATGTCCTGTTGATTGCGTTCTGGGAGATTGGGGCCGTTGGTCAGAATGCTCCGTTACATGTGGATCAGATGGCCAGCAAACACGATCTCGCGGAATCTTGGTTCAGGGAGCACTGGGCGGCAAAGCCTGCAACACAGATGATCTGCTTGAAGCTTCAGGCTGTGAGGACGTTCCGTGCCCCATCCACTGCGAGTGGGCGACATGGGGCGAGTGGAGCAAGTGCACCAAAGACTGCAATGGTGGTACCACTTTCAGACACAGGTCTGAAAACGTGTCCGCACAACATGGGGGCCGCCAGTGTGAAGGTTCTGCTGACGAGGAGCGGATGTAGGCCTAGAGTAGCTGCATCATGTGTTGCTACCCAGTGGATTTTATGCATTTCGTTCAGTGCATATCACATAAATGTTTCGGAATCGGTGCAGGAGATGGTGTGCAACGCGCATGGTTGTGCGGTCGATTGTAAGTTCGATGACTGGACAGAATGGAGTGAGTGTTCGAAGAGCTGCAGCACGGGAAACAGGACTGCCGCCAAGCAAAGTTGAGGAAAGGGTAAGAACTCTTGTTGTGCATTCTGCGCATGATCGTGTAATCTGTGTGTGACGACCTGCCAGGACAGCAACTCGGACACTTATTACGCCAGCGCAGTGGGGTGGTCAACCTTGCGACGGTGGAATCTTCAAGACCGAGTATTGCAATGAGCAACCCTGCCCTGTGGACTGTGTTTGGAGTGACTGGTCACGCTACTCTCTTTGCTCGAAGACATGTGGGGGCGGGAACATGGAAAGAACACGTGGCTCGACCCGAGAGCTTTATGGCGGCAGAGCTTGCAGTGGACCGGACAAGGAGTCCACGCCATGCAACACTCAGGGGTGCCCTCAGGACTGTGAGTGGGGCCAATGGACTACATGGACACCTTGCTCCAAGGAATGCGGCGGGGGCTCTATCAAGAGATTCAGGGATGTCGTTGTGAAGCGTGCCTTTGGTGGAGAGCCATGTGTCGGTGCTTCAGAAGAGGAAGCAGGCTGCAATTTCGATGCTTGCGCCATTGAGTGTGAATGGAATGATTGGGAGCCTTGGAGTCCTTGCCCAGCCACCTGCAATGGAGGCGTTCGCACCAAGAGTAGAACCCGGAAGCAGGAAGCTTCTGCCGGAGGAAGGCCTTGCGCCGGAAATCGCACTGAGAGTGAAAGATGCAACCCAGCTCCCTGCCCTGTGGACTGCACTTTCGAGCTCTGGCAAGAGTGGGGCGATTGCTCAGCTAGCTGCGGTGTGGGCTCCCGTTTCCGCACCCGAGTCAAGAAGGCAGAGCTGTACGGCGGAGCGCCATGTCAGGATGTGATGTGGGAGGTGGGTGAGTGCAGCAACCCCGAAGATGACATCAACTGCCCGCACTCAACCTCTAGCACCACTACATCTGCTAGAGCCTCAGGTAGCTTTCTCCCGGTGCGACTTTGCAAGATGTCCTGCTCAGTTGACATTACTTCAACTTCCTAACGGAGAGCTGGGCTGGAGCCACTTGCACAACGTGTGGGAGCCACATGCCGAGCCCTCAGCAGCTTGTTTGTGAAATGCCCATCATGTGCTCCACCTCCTTAGTCATGATTTCGTCGCCGCAGGTGGACCGTGGCCCTTTGGATATTCCACTCAATGAGGACCTAGACAAGAATTTTTCGATCAGACTCTTGAACGGCAAAATGCGAAGAGAGAGAGAGAGAGAGAGAGCGAGATTCGTAGCCTGACCGAAAGAAAGAAAGAGAGCGAGATTCGTACTACCTGTGCTTATCGTCCCACCACGCCAGTTTCAATGAGGCCCGACATGGGCGGAGGGGAAGTCCCCGAAAGGGGCCCCGAGCTTCCTTCAACGCCCGCAAGAGAGACAGAAAGGAAGAAAGACAGACAGCCCCGAGAAGAAGAAGGATAAGAAAAAGAAGAAGAAGAAGTTGTGATTCCAATGGGGCCAGCTTTTTATTGAAATTGTGGCATTTCTCTTGTAGAGGCAAGGCCCAATATGGCCGTGGGGAAGATCCCAGGGTGGGCCAACAGAGAGTGAGCGAGTGACACGATTAAGTTGCTGAAGCAATGGATCGCCACCTAACATGGCATGGCATTTGCCGAGGGGCATGCTTCTCATAGCCAGGCCGAAAGAGAGAGGGACATAGAGAGAGGCACCATGAGGTGTCGATTTCAGCAGGGACACTGCGCGCCAGGTTGCTGTTAATACAAGCTCAACAGGATAGATTAGATATTGACAGATGGCTGTTCACCATGAGGAGTATCAAAGACATCGTTTGAGTATGACGTAGCAGTCGAATCGTGGATCATCGTGAGAATATTGGTGACGGTAGACAGGGTTTGCACATGGTTATAAATTTCATGGTGCTCCGGCCTTTCTTGGCAGATGGAATGACAGACTTACGCGGACTTTTTGACGTAGCTCCGGCAAGACACTTGGGTCGGGGAACCAATCCAGATCTGTCTTGATCTGGACCTCTTCGGAAACTGTGGGATACATAATTCTGAAGCTGAAGGTTAGCTACGTCTTCCGCAATGCGAGTGAGATGCTCCCCCAGTCAATTCGGCCTTCAAACGATAGCAGGCGCTCATTCGGCTAAAGGACAGAAAAGAAGAAAGAAGGAAAGAAAGAATGACAGAAGAGGGAAGAGTCACAGAGAGAAGACAGAGAGAGAGAGAAAGCCCCATCCTGTCATGTTCTGAGCACTGTTGCGGTCTTTGAGTGCCTGCGCAGGGGTTTGCATTTGATGGGTCTGTGTAGGCATTTGATGGGGTCTGTGTAGGTAACCACTCCTGTAAAAGAAGGCACAGATAGACGAGCAGGCTCGTTGCCGACCCTCGTGACCTATGCCAGCAGCGCATAGCATGGGGTAAAGCAGCAGAACCGATACCTGAAATCACCTGGGTCCACAGTCTGATGTGCATGGCTCCGACCTTAGTTAGTGTCTGTGTATGGATGTCTCCAGCCTGAGCGATGTCTCAATGTGGACTGTGGGCGCAAGTAAACCTCTTCAGGTACTTAAGTGTCACAGCCCCATAGAGAAGGAGACAAGAAGAAACCTGAGCCAGATACGTTGGGAATTACTATGTATGCGTTAGTGGTTAATCAGTTCCCCGGGTATGCAGTGTATCTGGCTTGGGTTCCTCCGTGTCTCGAGCCTCTGGGGTACCCGACCAAGTGACAGCGAACGGGGCGCGGAGCAGTGCTCCGAAGAAGGCGCAAGGCCTTCCCATCGCCGGCAGAAGAAGAAGAAGAAGAGAGAGAAAGAGCTGACCAGCCACAGTGCCGCTACGGCCAGCTCGTGCTTGGGGCGTTGCCCTGGCCCTCCTCTCCGGGGAGGGTAGAGCAGTGAAAAGAAGAAGAAGTGGATCTGTTGGGACAATTTGTTGTATTGCGTAAGCTGTCCCAACTTTACTTTACAGGTGAGCCTGTCGGGAACTGACGGAACGGTTGCAGAGTCCTAGACCCCAGGCCATCGTAGGATTCCCATTTTACAGGTGAGCCTTGAGAAGAACAGAGACAAATTTGAGTGCACTGCGCAAAGATGCAGAGGTTGGGTAGTTTTCGCTATTTGAGGCAAAGATCCCAGCTACAAGGGCGCACCGTACAAGCCGACGATCCCTTGCCCAAAAGACAAGCTGAACCAGTCGTTGCTTCTCCGCACTTCACTTTACCAGCTCATGGGCCCCAAGATCCTGAGCCTGAGGCTGGAAATTTATGAGAAGCTAAAGTTCCAGCAGCCAAATTTGGTCGCGAGCCAGCAACGTGTGCAGAAGGGAGTGCATGTTTCTAGGCGCTGTTTACTTTGCCTATCTCTCGAACATCTGAGGCGAAATTGTCGAATGCGACGCAGGCAGACGCCATGCAAGTAATTGACGAGATAATCCAGAACATCACGGGGGAGGTGCTCGAGCTTGCACCTCTCATGCATTGTCGTTGGAGATGGGTAATTTCATCGGGCCGTCCCGTCCTGCAGGTGCCACAGGTGAACTACACGTACAACGACTCGTGGCAATGCATGTCAAGTGGTTCATGGTGCCTGCAGGTTGCAGGCATCCTGTGAGCTTTACATGCGAGCTTTATTTAGCTCAGCTCAGGAAGTTGTCCTGAAGCGAACAACCTCTCCCCCTACGATCGGGTCTCAGATGCAGAGCGACGCAGTTTCCAAGCTCGGAACATTAACATGCTTCGCCTACCTGAGCTCCAGGACAGTACCACCATCTCCGACTGCAGTGGAGCGCACCGGAAGACTTGTTCCTTGGCTTTTTTGCTTGACTCATTTGGGGCCACAGTTAGTTGGATGTTTGAAGGACCTCTCGGACAACAGCGTGAAAGAAGTGCTGGACATCTTGGAAGCCCTGCCCAGCAAGAGTACAGACGTGGAGAAGTTTCTGGAGCAGGTAGCCTGTTTTGCCGGAGTTTCGCGAAGTTCTTCATTTCATGCAGCATTCTGTGCTTGTCTGCTGGTACGAGCCCACGAGTCATCCACAACTCTACGTAACACAAGGGCTTGCGGGAACTTGCAAATCAACACGCTTGTTGAGAACTGTTTGGACCAGGGAATCTCCTGCACAGGGAATGAGCTGGCCCTAGCTGTCCGCAAATTTGGAGATTGAGATGCTAAAGCGATTTTAACTTCTAACCAAGGCCCAGCCATAATAAGGAATCTATCACATGCGAGTATCATTTTATTGCTGTGGTGTGGGTGCAGTGACCGTCTTCAGCATTTTCCAAGAATCTGAAAACCGAGTTTTGCCATACTTGACGTGCTTGGCAGCAGGGGACAGAAAGGGTGTACTGGTAGGGATTGGCCTTGTCTGGGAGTACCCAGGTGCGCTGTACCATCAGGCTGCATATGCCTAAGACAGTCATTCAAAACCTTGAAGATCTTCCCAAACGCCGCAGCAGCAATTTGCTGGCGTCTTCAGAGGGCAAGCATGCACGGAGAGTTCGTCTTGAGCAGTAAAGGCCTTCAGACTCCACAGCCTAAACTCAAAGTCTGTTCCTTCAGCCAAGTCTTCAGCGAAGCAGGCACCCAGGTCCCCCGCTTGATCAATGAATCAAGGAATCTCCCGCAGCTAATCTGTCCAGCGCGTTTTGGCTTTCATATTGCGATGCCGGACACTTTCTAGAGTCACTGATTGCCAGGAAATATTTGCGTGCTTTGTCCACGCCCAGCCCCCTGCGTCAAGCAAAGTGCCGGAAAGACCTCGGGGCTGTACCAGGTGCGGGCAGCGCAGGTAGCAGAAATTCTAGGGCCGCCAATCAGTAAGATCATTGAAATCAAGTCTCCACTCTGACAGGGGGACGGGGAGAAGGGGGCGCACACCCCCGACCCTCCTTAGAGCCCCAAGGAACCTGCATCGAACAATGATACATCACACTCATCAAACTTTGTTTGTCCAAGAACATAAGCCAGCACCCAGCCAAACTGAACCTTGCAAAGCTTAGCCAAGCTCGTGCGGGCAGAAACCTGGAGAAGCCCTTGGGGCATGCCGGGGGCTCGGGAGGCTTCGTACAAAACGCACGTGTTTCCAAGACCTTGTTTTGGACGGTTTCAGAAGGGCCTGCGTCTCTGACGCTGCCCGACTTCAGAGCCTTGGGCTTGTGCCGCAGACAGGCGGAAGTTGGTGGCATACGCCGCACAGCCGGGAAGCAGTTCTGCGCCGGCGCAGTCGAATTTGCATTAAGACATCAGCACGATGATTTCAGGTAAGTGGTTTCACATTTGGAAAGTGGGAAATGGGAACGCGATTTGGTTACGGTTACTGAGGAGGAAGTCATTCTGGCCTCTGAAGCTAACAACATTTGAGGCCTAGGCGACCTGCACACGAGAATGAGAATTGGGACCCGAAAGCCCTGAGCAAAAGTACATTGATTCGTCTTGGATTCGTCTTGGGGTTTTAGGGTTTCGGGTTTCAAGTTCTGTTCAGTGGAATGATGTCGTGTCCGTCCGTGCTGCCCTCCGTGCTCCCCATTCCAGTTAGATGACCACCTGAACTCCAACGCCACCACTGTGGCCTTTTGGGGCTGTTTTCCCGCTTGACCAAATATTGAACGGCTCTGAACTCATAGCTATGATCAGGTCCCATCAATTGAAGCCTTCAGTGGGTGCTTGTTCAGTCCTAGGTTCATGAAGTCTTTTTTTGTATCTCCTCAGAAGGGGGGTGCGCAGCTACTAGCTGCAATGTTCACGGAGTTGCCTCTTTGACGCGCCCACACACTTGTAGTTCAGGTGGGTTTTAGCAGAGCAACCTGAGCCCGAATGAAAAAAAGAGTTCCAAACAAGCTAAGGAGTGCCCATGGAGGAAATGTGCCCCTCATTTTCTTGGAAATAGTTTTGAGTGAGTGTCTACGGTTTGAAGGACGGGTTGCGAGCTTAACCATCGCAAGAGAGGAGGAGTTCACGCCAGGCTTCCAGGACTTTGTCTGCAAGGAGTATGGAAATAGCAGTAGCCCAGAGAAAGGGCATATCGACATCTGAGAGAAACGTGCTTTGATGTGCGACGTTCGCGGTGGTTGTGCTGGAGTTCCTTGCATGACATCGGCAGTGAATGCGTTGGCCGCATTGCACACTACGCAGCGCTGCGAGTAAGCTCCCCAAGGCGCGTGCACGACTTCGGCACCCCTGCGCAAGTTTCTCACAGCCTGCACCCCGCAGCTGTGGCCCTGACCCCAGGCCCCTGCGGTCTAGGCCACCGCCTGGCGAAATCCGTTTTCTTTGCACAGTTGACTGGATCTGCTGGGGTAATCTCCCGATCAGCTTGCTGCTTCGGCTCAACTTTCCTGCATCAAGGATGGCGATCAGGGAAAGGATATTTTGCTCATGCCTGAGGTATTTGGGGTTTTTCCATGGAAAGCCAAAAGTTTGCAAGACAAAGCAGGTTGGTTTTTTGGGGTGGGGAGTAGGGATCACAGGAGCCGCGCATTCTCAGAAAAAGACTTGGTACGTTCAGGGCCTTAGCGTTGAAACGATGATCTTGGCTTTTCCAAATCGAAACGGTGCTTCTGTTGCCGGAACTTTGCCTACAGGATCCCCAGCCGAGCTCCAGATGATCTGAATCATGCGCTTACAAAGATGGATGTTTTCAGTGGGTTGCCCTGATCGTGGTCGGTTGGAGGGTATACTGAGATATTGAAATTGGGCACATATCCAGATGATCAGATGGCCATCCATGTTGTCAGCAGATGTTCGCATGACGAGAAACAAGCAGCTAGCGTTTCATACTCTGGCCATCCTTTTGATAATCATCCTGCGAGCTCTGCCCGTCCCCAAAACTGCCTACATGATTGTCCATCTCTTGGGCGTTTGCATCAAGACCTTGTCCATGAAGCAAACGGAGTACGTTCTCCCCGGTCAAAGCCAAAAGCGTTTGGCACGCTTTTCAAGAGTTCCCCGAGACCCCTTGCAATCTGTTTCAGGTCTAGAGTCATAGAGACATTGGCAACAAACGAGCCAAGTGCATTCTTTGGCCACCTGGTGCATGCAAACCTCTTGTGCACATGAACGCTGCATGGGTCCGCAGGTTTGCCAGCAAGGGACGGGGATGCTAAACATTTGCTCGCACGAGCATTGTATGCCTTGATGGCCTTCCATGCTGCCTCGCTTGCAAGCAGGTCAAGCAGAATCTCTCCGGATCGAGACCATTCCAGGCCACGCACAACTTCTCAGATTATTTATCGAAAGAGGCAGCTGAAGCACCGGACACCCCAGCTTCGAGCCTTGGATGGCGGCAGTATGGCAGCTCAAGTCGTGTTTCTTCTCAGGGTGCCTTGTAATGACAGTGGGTATGTCACGTCTCTGCGTCAGCCAGCCCCTGGCCGGTCCAGGAAAAATTTCACGCAAGTGTTCGAGACTGGTGACAGCTCCAAGGAGTCCTGGGACTTGAAATGGTTGGTGCCATTTGTTACTCCTGGTGAAGTTGTCTGGAAGCCGTAGCTTGTTGCTAGCAGCCCCTTTACACACTCTTCTGGCAGGACGGCAGGACAGTGGTTGCTGAAGTTGCAGGGGACCTGGGTCTGGACGTGATGGAGGCAGATGACTTTGTCAGCCAGCTCAGTTGAAGTACAGTAAAATGTTCCTTCTGCGTTATTCTTTCTGAGTCTTGCGCAAAACTGAGGCTGGCAATCCAGCTGTCTCAGTACCTGGGCCGCATATCCCTGGCACCATCAGCTCTCGTTCAGCCTCCCTCTTTGGCCAAGGCTGCCATGGCAAAGGCACTTGCCAGCTTGGCCGGTACAGAGAGCAAGGACGTCAAGGTCGATATCACAATTCCGCAGGCGCAGAAGCCACAGAGTATGGCATACCACTGCAAGGTAATGCAGATAACCCGGTAGATATCTAGTTGTGGAGTTGGCAACTAATACTTGCGCAGGCGATGCTGCTGTCACACTGGCAGAAGAAAGTCAAAGGAAATGCGCTTCGGCCATGCAGATCAGAATGACTTCCGTGTCTTCCAACAGATGGGCGCTGACCAAGATGATCCAAGGTGAATGTGGCGTACATGATTGAGGTGTACAAGCAAGATGCAAACGAGGGCAACGCATCGCAAGTTGCATCAAGAATCTCAAGCTCGGACCGTAGATGATGCAATCATTTGCTGCAGCCAGGGTGGCCTTGTCTGAACTACTGCAGACTTGAGACACTGTGCAGTGGAGGACATCAACACAGTAACATCAGAAGCCAGACGACAGGCACAACAAATTCCTAGCTCATGGCAGCCATTTTCCAACGGAGAGGCCCTTCATGGTGTGCTTGTCTTGCCGATAGGTGACAGCTGCTGGCCAGAATTTTACGCTCAGGGCTTGCTCCTCAGTTCCCTGATGTTCCCTGGTATTCATGTTGCTCATACTGGCGTATGACCTACTCTTTATCTGCGTTGCTGAGGCGGTCAGCCTGAGTGTCACGATCTTGCCCGTCAGTACTGACGGCAGCATTGACGTGCTGCCTAGCCATCAGCTCAGAGCTGCAATGGCATCATCTGGAATCCCAAACGATTTTTTTACTTCTGATCAACTTGCTAAGCCAGGTTCTACTGAAGCGGCGGTGGGGGACAATTCCTCTCTGGTGGAGGTGTGGATTCGCTTCTTCAGCAGATCTCCGTCATGTAGATGGCAGAGCTTGTTACAGGATGCTGTGCCCACTGCAATGCTAGACGGGAAAGCCAAGGCTCAAGTTGTTTGCAAGTTGGTGCCAGCTATGCCTGCGTGTGTGCCTGCAGGCGCCAAAAAGCGCCAAAGCAATGATAGAGACTGCGCAGCAGGTGAAAGCAACAAAGGTATTGGCCCAAGCCTGGATTACTTCTCAAGATGAGGCCCTCTTGTGATCTCTTCTGCAACATCAGGTGGCAGAAGCAAAGCTACACAATCAGCAAGAACAACAAGCGATCGCGCGCGAGCAGGCTGCAGAACGGTGTCTGCATGTTCCGAGCCACACTGCCAAAGTCTTGACCGTCAGTCAGCACCATTTTTTCGTCCTAGAGGCGCAAGGAACAGTGGCGTGTGCTACTTAATGTGCAGTGGGATTGCATGCTCTTCCTTGGCCTCGGAGTCACTCGATCTGGTATTTTGATTTGGTGCAATAACCGAAACCACCTTTTTCTCTTGTTCTTGTAAGCTCTTTGATTTACCGGTGCAATAACCAAAACCACGAATTCTCCTTGGCGTGCCGACTCCCTACCACCTTGCAAGTGCAACTTGGCCTTCTGGATGCCCTTTTCCTTTTCTCTTTTCTTCTTTTTTGCTTTCTCCCTATTCTGCTTTTGCTGCCTCTGCTGCTGCTGCTGCTGCTGCCGCTCTTGCTGCTGCTGCTGCTGCTGTCCCTTGTGACTTCTGCCTGCCTGGCTCTTCACCGTTCCTCTCCCTTGCTCGTTTTTAACCGAAAGAATTGTTCTCTTGGCAATCATGGGTCGCATGGCTACTTCCAATCCAGCCCCTGGCTGCGGTTGTGCAGTGGGCTCTCTGCTCCCTTAATTGATCAGCTGTCAGAGAACTTTCGAGGGAAGACCTTCAATATCTCATGAGTTGTGAACTTGTTCATAACTCACTGAGCTTCAACACTCTTGGCTCTTCTCTCCTGACGTGCGTCCTGAGTCTGGCAGCAGTAGGCTAGGCCTGTGTCTCACGGAGGCCAGACTGAAATCGCGCAAGAAAAAAGCCACACATCCAATCATAGCAGTAGAAGCTGCTGGCAGAAACGACAAGAACAGCAGCAGCAGCAGCAGCCCAAGGATCATTAACGGCCCTCAGCTTGCATTGTTTTTTCCATTGCTGAGTGTGCTCAGGTAACATTTTCAGCTATTGTGACCATGGGCTGTTTTGTCAACGCGGGCTCGGGAAAATTCCATACCTACCTGCATCACTGGAAGCATGGCTGATTTGCCTCATGGTCAGCTCTTGTTGGTGTGGATTTTTCCCTTCCTCCTCATGTCGAATTCGCTGGCATATTGGCTTTGTGGTGACTGTTTCCAGCTTTGCAAAACCGTCCCCCTTTTTTTGCCCTCGAGCTTTTTTTCATGTTTTTGTGTTTTCCGTTTTTCGTTCTTGGGAGGCCCTCACGTTTTCAAGGCAAAGATGGCAGTTCCTGCTAACCTGCCAGGTTCCACCCTGCCTACAGAAGTATGGCAGGGACATCGATTTGTGGTGGCAGCATGCACGCAGACAAATTTTTGCTCCAAGACTAGAAGGATGCGTTAGAATACGTCTAATCAAGATTTACTTGTTTCTGTCGGCCTGCGCAAACAAACCAGGCTTGGACACATTGCATTTCAGAACCAAAAACCTGGTTTCCTGTCCTCGCGAGTTGCATCCATGGAAACAGCATTGGCTCGTCGGGACCTGAACAATTGTGGAAAAAGCTTGCGACTCGGAAATTTTCCACCTGTGCAAATGGGCAAAAACGTGCAGATGGAATTGCTACCAGGGTAATTAATGCCCAGGTTTGCCAATGCAACTGATGCCATGGCTGCCACTTCGAAGAGGCAGTATGGAACTCCTACGAGGATGCAAGGTCTTGAAAAAAGGTTGACGAACCAAGATTGAAGGTACAGAGCAAGCCGCAGTAGCAAAGCATTGATTTCAAGGCGACACACACAGTATGCCTGGCTCCAGACTGAACTGAACTGAACGCCAGTTTCGCAGCAGTGGCCACTTTCCTTGACCCAAGTGAATGACGAAACATTTGACGCACATTTCTTTGACTTGCATACCATGTGGTATTCACCTGCTACGGCAAATTCAACAGTCCCATGAGCCCTGAGGGGGGCCATGGATTCGGAGTACCTTTCCTCAAGTCATGTCAGTCAGGGGCCATACTCATTGTGACATGTGTTGACAAGTTTTTCAGGAACAGAAGAAGGAAAGAATGGAAAGAATGAGATCTGAGCCAGGCTGTGCTTTTGCCTGCTGCGTTTGCAAGCTACACACTCATCGTGCTGCAGGTCTCAAGTCCAGCGTTCCGAGACATTTCCTGTCTGCTACGGCGGGATTGCTGGTGCCATCCACAGTGTATTCTGGAAGTGGAAGCCGTTTTGACTTCTTTTAGGTTTTGTTACCGTGCGTGTTCTTGCAACGATTTGAGATGCCGAGGTGATGAGCTTGTGAGACACGACTCTGCGATGTCCCATCGCCCGTATCACGCACGACCGCACGACAGACAAGCCAGAGGAGTTTCACGGCAAGCATGCAAAAAAGCACCCGGCCTGCTACTTGAGACACTTGACTCAGGGTATCTGTGGCATCTCAATTCTGCAGCAACTTCTTAAAGAGTGTGAACCAGCAATGCCCGCAAGATCTGATAGGATACGGCATCAAGCGTGATCCGCAGCTATGAGGCCTTGTGGTGGCTACGTTTCACTACCAAACACTGCCTTAGCCTTTGATTGTGTGCTGCACGTTGCCGTGAATGTGAGTGACCTTATTGGCGGCTTTCCTGAGGCCACGGCTGTAGACATGCCTCGGATCGTACTTGGGACTGGTGGCTTCGAAGGCCTGTCTGGAAAGGTGGGTAGAGCCGGTTCCTTGGACATTTCGGGCCTAAATCAAATGTGTCGTTTTGCGTGCTTCTTCTAGGCAGCTATGCTGGCAGCCCTGAAGATGGGGTATCGTGGAATCGACACGTCCGAGATGAATAGGACCGGTTCCAAGCCACTTCCTTTCAAACTTTTTTCTTTTCATTCTGCTTCAACCTTTCAAGCTGGTCGAGTGCATTGTCTGTTAGGAACTTGATTGACATCCGATGGGCCTGTAGCCGGCTCAGGTGTTTTGAAGAGGTGGGAAACTCGCCTGGACGATCCTTTTCCCGATGAGGCCAGCGAGCCGGTGTGGATAGGAAGGATCTGTTCCTGGTCTTGAAGATACCTCCCTGGAGCCATGGCCCAGCACCCAGAAAGCATTTTGCTGTTCATCTGTCGCTGCGGCTTGAGCTGAGGGTACGACGGGGTCCTTCAATCCTTCCGCAGGCCGGCCAAGTCTGAAAAGAGGAGTTCCGATGTCGGTCAGACTGCAAGGCAGACCAGCCAGTTGCGTCTCGACTATGCCAAGACCCCCAAGAACAGCAAAACGAGGTCTGTAAGGGGCCCTGAGAGATTGAGTTGACCAAGGTTGACCTGGTGCTGATTCAATGGTTGCCCCCCCAGGGTGCTCCTTGCAGTGGTGTTGCTCTTAAGTTATCTCCCGGATGCCAAGGCCACACGTCTGGTCCCTGGAGCAGCGCGACTGGGGTCCGGCACAATGGAGCAAGTGCTCCCGAGCCAGACTTCTAGCAGCTTGCGAGTATGTGTTGATCCTCCGATTTCATGGTGTAGATCCAACGCATCTTTCCAACACATCTTGGCTCAGACCAGCTAGCTCAGCTTGATGCGATGCAGTCATGCCAGTCAAAGATGCATTGCAAGCAGCATCAACTTACTTGTCGGTGTTGAAGTCGTACGCCATAAGCATACATCCGCGCCGTTTGCAATGCGATGATGGCAGAGAGGATCCTTCATGCTCTCTCCAAAAGCTAGGGATGCAGCAGGAACGCTGTCGCAAGTTCAGGCCTGCCAGCGGCAAGTATCTGAGCTTCGTACAAGTTTGTCTCTGCTTGCAGAGCGGTGTGGGTGCTTGGAAGATGTGCACACAGGAACCATTGAAAATCTCAGAGCTTTTGGGTCTTCATCAGGTTCCGGACAAGCAACGCTTGAGCAGCTCAAGAAGCAATCCACGGCCAAAGTTAGAGGTTTACAAAACCGCCATGGTGAGCTCATGAGGTTGTTGCAGGATGAGCTCTCTCGCCATCCAGTCGAGGTAGAAGACAGGTCAAAAGCCGAACGTGGCCCTAAGCCAAAGGCAGCACCTTGTGTGTCAAAAGCAGGTGCGCCTGGGCCTCCCACTCCTCTGCAGCCAAAGGTGGATGATGCCACCGTTCCGCTAACGTTGGAGAGTGAGCCTGATAAAGCTGACCAATCTGTGACAGTTATGCCTATGGACGGACGGGCGGCACGGTTGAACTCCAGACTTCGCTGCTCGTCAGCGATAGCATGTAACCTTGAAGATAGTATAAGAGGGCCATATTAATATTGTTTTTTCTGCAATATGGGCCGAACAAATTAGCCTCAGGACCCCCTGACAGTCGGTGTTCCACACATTTTGATCACGTGGCCTCTCAAGACTGAGGATTTCATGACATCCAGGCCAAGGCTGCCCCGGAGAAGTCTCGACCCTTCGCGCAGGGTCATGCTGATTTGCGCAGCTTTCCTGGAGCAGAGCCCTGGCCTGTTCAGGCTATACCACCCCGTGATCGTGTCGAGGAGGTTCGCAGGAGAGCAGCTGAAATCGAGATGGCAAAGCGACAACCCCCACCCAATGCAATAGCGGTTGCGCAAGATGCGCCGCAGGTTGCTCAAGTCGCCCAAACTCCCGTGGAAGCTGACACGTCTCGATCGCCGATCAGCGATGTTTGGGCAAGGTTTCACCCCTCGCGTGGAGGCGACTCCAGCAACCTGCCCTGGCCAACTGGGCCCACACACCTAGCCACCCCAACGGCATCAGCCGTGCAGGAACCAATTGCCATCCCCAGCATGGGATCATCTGGCAACTTGAGAGGTCAGCCATTGGCGTATGCAAATGGACCCGCTCCATTTGCACCATTACCGCCAACACCGCCTGCTAGCTTTCGGCCACTTTATGTTCCTGGAGTTTGCATGCAGAATCACTCACCCATGGGCCCGGCATTCCCAGTGGGTGCTTGCCCTTCCAGTCCTGCACCAGATCTGATGGGACTTAGCTCGCTCCAGGCCCCCTCCACGCTGCCGGCTTCGCCATGGTCTAGCTTTCCCTCGCTGCACTGAGAGCTGCTCTGAGCTCCCTCAGGGCTAAGGCGGAGAGTGCTCTCCGTCAACCGGTTTCACAATTTCTGCACTAGGCTGGTCGAGTACTAGCATGCTCAGTCCAGCCTGCGGCAGCTCACGTCAATGTCGGGGTCTGACAACAGTGATGGTGATCACCGCTGTTCCTGTTGCACTTCCGTTACTCGCGAAAACAGTTACATGGTGTTGAATCATGTTGAATCATCGGCTCTAACTGCAATCGTTGCCTAAATTGCTGCAGTTCTGCCAGGGCCAACCAGACGAAAGCTTCCATGCGCCGAGAATCCTGGAAAGCCATGGAAGAGTTGGTGACTAAGCAGGCCGAAGGTGCATTGCTAATATCTTTGCCTTTCGTGATTCAGGCTTTTCAATTCCGGCCGAGCCCGTGCAATCGGAGTCAGCAATCATACAATCGATGACATGGAGGACTTTCCGACGCACAATTCGCGAGTTAATCAATTATCAGTTGACTATTGTGTTGTTTGCTGTCTTAGACCAGGCAATTCTTCAGGGCTGCGCCGACGCGCCCTTATTGATTGAACGAGCCGAATCAGCTCAATGAGACACGTGTGCGGTACCACTGTACTGATTCGAGGTCCCACCCATGGTAATGCAAGGAGAGTCCCATCCGCACTGGCCAAACAGGCACGCTGTACGGCCAGAAAAGCTTTGCATAGTTTGGCAGCGCAGGCCGGTACGTGACTGGTGTCGGAAGCACGAAATCATTTTCCAGGGCAGTCGCCTTAAAGTTTACGCTTGAGGAGAGTTGACTGTATTGAAGCCATTGCATTCGCTTTAGGCTATGCGCCCTTTGGAGGGCAAGAGACGGATCAGAATTCTGGGCATCGCGCTGTTGACGACTCTTGGATAGTTGGTGATGAACATTCTTAACGATGTTTCGTTGGCTGCCACTGCCACAGCAGCGTCTGCTTCTTTCAGGATGACGTGGTGCACTCCGTCCGTGACCTGGTACTTGATGCGCCGACATGTCGCATCGCAGGTGGGTGCGTGGTTGCGGTACAACTGCTTCCCTGCCAAGGTGGCCACGAGGAATGGCCTAACCCCATTTCAGGCGCTTCAGCTCTGAATCGTAGCCGCGTAGCTGCTGGTGATGCCAACTTGCGCTGGGCCCGATACCTGTTCGTCCTGAGGTTTGTATGCAATGGAACCAGGCACGCAACTCCAGCACCGTGGTCAAGTCCGGTGCCCCAGCCAGCAATGTCCCATTTTGACACCATCGCGACGGAGCCACAGGTCAAAGAATATCTTGCACCTGCGCAGCGTTCCCAACATCTGAGTTCGCTTCGAAAGACTGCATTCTCAGATTTGCTGAGTTTACTGTTATGGCATGCTGCAACGCAACATGAGCGGGCGTGTACGGTGTCACGCCGGGCTTTCTGCAGAGGGTTGGGCGGCAGCAGGGGGCAGGGGCAGGGGGCAGGGTGTAGAAAGCGGATATCTTGGCTGGCGAGTTCTTGAAGCTCAGGCGAAAACCTGGCCGCTTGCAACCAGAGGTTATGTGCCGCAGCAGATTTGGGAAGACCCTCGACGTGAGAAGTGTGAGTTGCAAGCGTTTAGGCATCTGGGACGATGCATTCATTGGACCAGGAATAGACGAGAGAGCAAAAGAATTCTTGAAGCTGGCATCTAAGAATGGCTGCTCGCTTGCCCTCCAAGTAACCTTCGCAACCCGCCTTATCAGGTATGGTCCCTGCTACTGGGGCCACAACGACATGGACTACATGCATCCGTGGAAGGATCCGTGCAAAAAGCGCTGCTTGAAGGAACACAGAACAAACTGTCACTGTGCACTGCTCAGGACGAGGAGGCCATGGCTTCTTTGCTGGGAATCTGATCATGAAAGTCAAATATTCTCGAAGTAACCGACCTGCACAGAAGATGCTGGAATCCATGTTCTCAGATGGAGCCCTTGAAGCCGGCATTCGCCCCAGCCAAGCCAAAATGCACGTCTCTGACAGCCGTAGGCGTTTGTGCCAGCTCGCCCGAGGCAGACGTATCTGAACGACTGCCGCAGACGAGAAGTTCACCACAGTTTTTTTCATTGGATTATAGCAGAAGCTGCGATTTCGCAGCGCGAATTCGCTAAGCATCCGCCTGGTCTGAAGAGTACTTAAGTTTGCGCCTTTTGGGCTAAATAATCTCATCTTGCCCGCGCAAGCTTTTGACAGCGTTGTGGTCTTTGCTTCCCAAGAGCTTCAATCTGTAAAATCCTGGACAGGGTGCTGCATCCTTCTCGACAGTCTCCATGAATCGACCCTGCAAGCGCTGGAGTTGCCCACAAATTGAACGGCAGAATTGCCTCTAAATGTCCGGAGGTGAAGCATGTAACATGCAGAGGTTTCGAGCTTTCTGCCTCCGCAGCTTCATGCAAGCTCAAACTCCATGACCCTTTAAGATTTCCTTGCCTCGGCTGTGAGGCATGCCCTTACGTGGTTCATCTTTGCTGTTCGACCAATCAGTGAGATGTCTGCTTTGCAGGCCGGAGGCGGAGGTTTTTTTTTGGATGGCGTCCACGGCGGCAGACTCAGTGGCTTCATTTCAAACGCTTTGTCTTGCAATTTGTCGTAGAGCCTGATCTTGGAATAGTTTCTTTGCACAGCTGCTGGTGGCCTGTGAAGCAGAGCATGCCTCATGCAGCCAGCGGAGGTAGATGAAGCGACTTACAAACCCAGTCCTTTTATGAGAGCTGCTGCTGCCAGTCTGCAATGGTGCTTTGACGCTTGTGCACTTGAAGCGTACAGC